TTTGACTTCGTAAGGGCTCCTGAGGCCCTACACCCTGTACCCTACACCCGACACCCGACACCCGACACCCTACACCCTACACCCTACACCCTACACCCTACACCTACACCCTACACCCTAGCTTAGGCGACGGAAGGTTTCAGGGCCATTTCAAGGATTCAGACCTAAACCTTGAACCCCAAACCTAAACCCTACTCCCAAACCCGAAGCACAAAAACCTAAACCCTAAATCCTCAACCCTAGTCTGGGGCCGTGGGAGCTGCAACCGCCTAGGCTTTCTGCTCGTAGCTTGTGAGCACCTCCTGTTAGCGGGACCTTGGCTCCCTGAAGCTCCCTAACCCCCCCTAAATTCCCCAAAGGCCCTCACTCCCTGAACCCCTAAATTCCCCAAGGTCCCTAGAATCCCTAAAATCCCTGAAGTTTCAGGAAGCAATCCATACAGTAACCCTAAACCCCACTCAAGCCGCAAGCTCAGATTCCTAGATGCCCTAAACTCCAAAAAATTCTAGAAACCCCCCCCCCCCAAAAAAAAAATATACCTAATTAAACCCACTTAAGCCTATTTAACACCTACTAACCCTAAATCCTAAAACCCAAACCTAAGCCGCAAGCTCTCAGATTCCGACTCGGATCTGAGCACCTCGGCCTTCTTGCGGATGTCGCCACTGCTGCACCCGGACACCAACGAGCCAGGGAGCCCGGAGTTAGTTGCTTACACTCCTAGAAGGGTTTATAGGGTTTAGGGTTTGGGGTTTAGGGTTTAGGGTGTCTCAATGAAGTTCTAGAAGGGTCTAGGGCTTAGGGTCTAGGGTTTAGGGTTTGGGGTTTAGGGTTTGGGGCCTTATAAACCTTAGGACCCTATAAGCCCTCGACGTGGGGCTTAGGGTCTGGGATTGGTGGGTTTAGTGTTTAGGGCCTTTAGGCTTTAGGGGCAAGAGTTGAGGGTTTTAGGGTTTCGGAGGTCGTTGTGGTTGGTCGTTTGCAGGGCCGGTAGCCCTTAAGGTTTTAGAGCACTTCGGCTGGTCAAGAGATTCTTCTTTGAACCACTGGGCAGCCGAAGACGACCGCTGCTACTACGACTACTACGAAGAAATCGTACGCTCACTAGTAGTGAGAGTAGAAATACCCTAAACCCTAAACCCTAAACCCTAAACCCTAGTGATATACAGGCTGCACAGGGGTATGGTAACAACCTCTATACACGCACTCGCTGACAGCGAAGCCCAGTCGCTTAGGGTTTAGGGTTTAGGGTTTAGGGGCCATAAACCTTCACCCCTTACTCCTTGAGCTGCGCAGGGCGTGGCGCCAGCCGTATCGACAAGCTTAAACCCCATGCCCAACTCCACATGCTAAACTCTGCACCCTAATCTTCGTATGAAGCTGAGCAATAACTTCCTAAAGCCGTAATCCGGACAAGCCTTCGGAGACCAAACTATCTAACCCTAAACCCTATAGACACCGTAACCCACAAACGACAGGTTCGATAAGGCCCTGAACCCTCCAGCTTCTACCCCTTTTTTTGATGTTAGGGGCTTAAGGGTGTGTATCGGCCAATCTCTCTGAAGCCCTAGATCCTGAACACCTTAAGGTTCTACAGTTTAGGGAGTTTGGGTTTAGGGACTCAGCGGCTTTTGGGGGGCTAGTTAGGGGCTTTGGCTTTAAAGTTTGGGCGTTGGGGTGTATAGGGTTTAGGGTTTAGGGTTTAGGGTTTAGGGGGGGGGGGGGGGGGGCGAGATTCATGGTTTATGGCTTTGCTCCCCGAGGCCGGATCCCGTCAAGGCCAGCGGCTCCCCTCCTGGAGCAGAGTATGGGGTTTAGGGTTGGGGGTTTAGGGTTTAGGGTTTGGGGTTTAGGGTTTGGGGTTTAGGGTTTGGGGTTTTGGGTTTGGGGTTTAGGGTTTGGGGTTAGGGTGTGGGGTTTGAGGGTTTGAGGGTGTTGAATTTGGGGGGGCTTAGGCCTATAGGGTCTGGGGTAACTCTGAACTCTGAATCCTAAGCCACCAATCCTCCCTACCCCTTTGAACAGCGTTCTCAGGGCTGCTTCAGGTTTGCACTTGTGGAGCCCCTGCGCGCGACGATACAAGCGGTGAAAGGTAAGCTGTTCAGCTCTCGCCTCACAGGATCCAGGTAGCTCAGGGTTGAGGGTTGAGGAAATTATAGGGTTTAGGGTTTAAGGTTTCGGGCTTAGGGCTTAAGGCTTGGGATTTAGCGTTCAGGGCTAGGGTTCAGGGATCAGGGTTGGGAATGCAGGCTTCGCGTGATTCAGGCTACCAGGACAAAACTGCTACTATGTTCACCTTTTGTCCGCCAGTGTCCACTACAGAGCGCGTTCCCTCAATTAGGGTCTCCATTCTGGTGCCCTTTTCAATTTAGCAGTGGCTTGAATATTGTCGGGTTCCTCAGCAGAGGGACCCCGTTCTAGAGAGCTCTGCTGAAACTTAAGTTTGAACTCTAAACCTCAAACCCTAAACCTCAAACCCTAAACCCTAAACCCTGTTGGGTACGGGTGCAAGGTCTGGGGAACTGCTGGAACAAAGCTGGCCCAACGTTTGGTGGCGGCGTTCACGATCCGGGTTTCTTGGGTTTGCAGGGTTTGTAGGGTTTGCGGGTTTTGCAGGGTTCTACAGGGTTCATAGGGAATCATGGCATTATAGGAATTCTAGGGGTCATAGGGTTTACAGGCTGTATAGGGCTTAGGGTTCAGATGGGTTCAGGAGCGTGCTTCACATGCTTGGCCGCGAGGTGCGCTACTGGAACGATGCTAGCCACTGCACAGACCCTCACAGTGCCACGGATGCATCGCCTTAAAGCTCTCTAACCTAAGCATTAAGCTGTAAGCCCACCCCAAACCCTTGTGAAAAGCCCTATGTAAACCCTCAGCCAAACCTGAAACTACAAATCCGAAGCAGTAAGCCCTAAAACTCCCATCCGAACACCCAAGCTAAAGGCCAGCGCCGCAAACTGGGCCCCATGGCTTTTCCCCTGAACCCTTAGCCTTACATGCAAAGCTCCCCCCCCCCCCCGTACCTGGATGGTGCGTGATAGTAGGGTAGAAAGCGGCCGTCCTTAGAGTTGCAAGAAAAACAGCGATGCACCCGAATGCCTGGCAAGCATTGCGTGTGGGGGGGACACGAAGCCCACCGAACTCTAACTCCCAAACCCACCCCCGAAAGCACCCCGAAGCCTGTGAACACCTGGCAGGCTCCACTCTACACCCTAGACACTAAATCCCTTCCCCCTAAACCCTAAACCCTAAACCCTGAACCCTGAACCCTGAACCCTGAACCCTGAACCCTGAAACCCGAAACCCCAAACACCTACAGAACTTCAGCCCTCTGGGCCTCTTTGGCCTCCTTTGCCTAGGCGGCACTGTTCTGCGGGTGCGGGTGGATATGCTCATCGCCAGCAGCTTTAGGGGCTTTAAGGGCTTTAAAGGCTTCTTAGGGTTTTTGAAGGGCTTCTAAGGGCATTCAGGGCTGTAATGGCTTAGGGCACCCGTAGCTGACCTTTCGCGCGTCAAAAGCTCCCAAACCCCAATTCGTCCGAGTGATGCCCTAAAACCCTCAAACATCAAGCCATCAAGCTTTAAAGCTCATATGGCTTAGGTCCCTCTTTCTATCTCTGACCCACTGTCTTTCTGATTCTCTGTCCATCTGACTCTCTGTCCTTCAACTCTCTCGAGAGCGAGCACTGCATCTGTCGATTGCCAATTGTTGACCATGCCCTTGCAAACGTGTGGCTAAATTCGAGAGGAGGGTTGCAGGCACCGGGACCTTTCATATCAGTAAGCTCCCCAAAGAAAAACTCGACGGAAACAGCCCTTCAATGCCCAAGCCAATTCCAATACACATATGCAGTTCTCACATATACACCATGCACGAGTAGGGGTTTAGTATCTGGGATTTTAAAATGCCTTCATGCTGCGCCTTCCCTGGTCCGAAGTTGTAGCATCTGCTCGCGCCCAAAGCTTAAAGTTCGACACAACCAGCTTGCCGAAATCAATCTCAGACCTCGGCAAAACCCCAAAAACCCTCAGCGCTGACACTGCAGGCAACCTATGCGCCCCTTATAGTTGCCTTATTCAGATTCCCAAGTATCACGCAGTTCGACCGCGCCCCTACGAATCCCATCCTGCATCCCTGGACCTCCAAACCTAAAACCTCCCGACCTCTAGGGGTGGTTTAGGGTTTAGGGTTTAGGGTTGAGGGTTTAGGGTTTTGGGTTTACCCCAGCTAACGATGCAAGTGTGCAGTCTGGGTTGCTGCTCAGGAACTTATACAACCATACGCTTTCCTTGTCATGGTGCCCGAAATCCAATATCCACCCAAAGCCCGAAAGCCTTAGTCCTAAACCCAACTGAGGCTTTATGACAACAGAGGACCCCAATGTAGACCCCCCTAAATAGTAGGATTTCCTTATCATAAAGGCCCCAATAAGGTACCCCTAACATCGGAAACCCCCCAAATAAGCTAAACCCCAATAAAGGGGCCTTAAGAATTCGAACAGGGTTTGAGGGGTATTACAGTCGGAAATACTATTAGTAATTATTGGGACCCCTAAACCCCAAACCCCAAACCCCAAACCCTAAGCCCTAAACCCTTCACGTTGCATGGGATCTTCAGGAAGGCCCACTACAGTCCCAACATCAGAATCCGCCATGGCAACGACTCGAATTGGAGAAATCTGTTTTACGACCAGCGAGATGCTCTGTCCTTAAGTGGCTTTTGTACAGGTTACCACAGACAATGCATCGTGTAGAGCTCTGCTCATACCTTTATGAATACTTTCTGTCCAAAAGTCTATGTAAAGCTCTGCTTTACATCAGTGTTTGATCATGGCTCAAGGGCTAAATCTTCGCAGCCTTCCCTGAACCATAACAAGAGCGGGGCCGTCGGTGGCGTTGATGAATATGCCTCAGCAGCACATCGTCACTCCTCCTCAACAGCTTCGGAAGGGGCTGTTGCTCCATGCCACCGCCATAGCCAACGAACTTTACTTCCATCATGCGTCTTTCCAAAATGCCAGCCACTGAGAGATCTTGTGCTTGGTATTCACATTCTCCCATTTCAGCCGGACACGATGCTTCAAGCCCCGTTGGTTCCAGAGGTAGAGGACGTACTTGTACTGTCTTGTCGATGGCAGTGACCTCGAAGGAAATGCCCCCTCCACCAGGTTGGCCGAGAGTCTTTCCGCCATCTCCTTCTTGGATCCAGTGGTTGGTAGCCCTTCTTCTCTAAGGCCAGCTCGTATATCCTCCACCACCATCAGCATCACGAGGTCGAAGCACACTCGGGGTCGCTCATCCCAATCATCATAACTTGGCTCACTTGTTGTAAAGCTCCTTGATAGTTCATCGACTTGGGTTTGTCGCCTTGGAGTCATTGGCATAGTTTCCATTCCAGCGACCAAAGGTGACCTTGTAGTAGAGGGCGTCGACGAAGCCTGTGGGATCGGTGACGAAGCCTGTGGAATCAGTGATGAAGCCTGTGGGATCGGTGACGAAGCCTGTGGGATCGGTGACGAAGCCTGTGGGATCGGTGACGAAGCCTGTGGGATCGGTGACGAAGCCTGTGGGATCAGTGAGGAAGCCTGTGGGATCGGTGACGAAGCCGGTTGGATCGGAGAGGAAGCCTGTTGGATCAGTGACGAGTTAAACTCTTCACTGGCCAACCGATCAAGTTCCAACTCCAGGGCACGCCTCGTCGCTGTCTCTAATCTCTGTAGCTTCCTCAATCGCCGTGCTCCAGCTCCAGGTGTCCAATCCATCATTCTAGCTGTAGTCCATTTGACCCCTTCCCAAATCGCCACCACCCCAGCCACTGCAAGGAAAATTAGCAACCATCCCACCATATCCCAGTCCACTGACAGACGACCTTGGAGGGCAGCATCCTCCTCCTCGGCCTTCGTCCCGACTATCAACATGCAGCAGACCAAAGCCAAAAGTGCCCTTGCCGAAATACTCGAGCCCATTCTTGTCGTTGGCGTCTCGGTCTGCTCATCCTTTACTCCCCATAGAGCAAGGAGGTCGCTGATCCTTTGGGCCGGCATGGCCTTCGTCAAAAGGTCAGCGAGCTGGATCCGTCCAGCGCAATGCTTGATGGCCATGATGCCGGCATCCAGCTGTTCCTGCAACCACCCCGCCTTTATGCGAAGATGTCTGGTTCTCCATCCCCCGTTCCCAGAGGTGATCGCCAGGGCAGAGGTGCTGTCGGTGTAGATCGTTCTCGACGATACCTCCACCCCCACGTCTTGTAGTAGAGCTTCCACCCCCAACGTGGCGACTGCCCCGTCCAGCAGAGCAATGAGTTCACTCTCCGCCGTGGAAAGTGATATCACACTTTGTCTCCCCGATCGCCATACTATGGCCCGACCCGACTCCGGAGCATATGCTGCATCGCAGAACAAGGAGAGGTCTGTGCCGTCGTAGGCGATGGTCAATCGCCGGGTTTGCGTTCTTTGAAGATATCCCAGCGCTTTGTAGCCGATGGCAATCACCCTCGAAGGCGCTCGGGTTGTCAAGGTCGACATGAGTGAGGTCACAAATGCCAGGTCAGGACGGCTCCGTTGAGAAACCCATAGCAGCTCGCCTGTTAGTTGTTGGGCAAGATGAACGTCGAAGTCGCTCGGGGGAAGGTCGTTCTTCAGCACAGAGAAAGAAGCCGAGTCCTTGCTCAAAGGAATGCGATCCAGCTGAGTAGTTGGGATCTCCCTCATCCTTAGGAGCTCACGGATGTATGCCTCCTGCGCAATGCCAAAGGACAATGACCCTCCTTCTTCCCCTCTGAGATATATCTCCATGCCCAGGAACCTCAGAGGTTGATGCCGAGAAATCAGCTGTAGGTCAGTCGTCTCCCACAGCCTTTGAATTCCTTGGGCCAGGGCTGTGATCGTATTTTTGCAACCACAGATCATGAAATCGTCCACATAGATCACAATGACCGCTACGATCTGGTTATTCGGCCCCAGGACTGTCCACCAAGCCGTGACCGCCTTGCCCTTCCGAAGTTGCAGCATGGCATCATTGATCTGTACCGAGAGGGACTCCAATTCGTGATCTCTGTAGTTGCCCCACAACCGAGGTGACTCTTTGAGTCCGTACAAGGCTCGAATCAGGCCCCATAACTCGAACTCCTCAATCAGGTTCAGACGCTCCAATAGTTTGGGGGGCTGCACCACTACCACTGGGTCCTTCGAAGACCTTCCCATTGGCGTCTTCAAGAAGGCCGTCACAATGTCGAGGATCCCCACCGTCCATTGGTTTTTGCAGGTCAATGTCAGGGCGGCCCTCACCGCCTCTGCAGGAGCTGCTTCGGTATAGATCCGAGCTGCTGTTGACCGCCATGTTGCCACAAACTACGAGTCGAGCTTTTCGCTTGAACCATGTGGACGGGTCGTTGGGGTCCGCCTTGTCGTTCGGCTTCACCGTGTAGACGAACTTTGTGGGAAGTCTCTGTACTCCACGCCTTTTCAACCAACTCGCCCTCGATGCAGTTCCAGGTTTCAATCGCTCAATGGCATGCTCCACGCTTTTGACCTCCTTTTGGATCGCCGGCAGCCATTTTTCCAACGAGCCAAGAACTTCTTGAGGATCAACATTGTGCACCACATCCAACGGGGCGGTAAGGGAACTCAGCAATTTCTCGATCCCTGATGTGTAACCAACCTCCGCCTTTTTAATCGAAGGAGCTGCTGGTCCAAGGGGTCCATGTCCACCTTCTCCAAGACTCACCTTTCCATTCTCCACTTCCAGAAACATCTCCCAATCCTTCGATCTCAATTCGGGTTCCACTTGCTCACACCGTTCTTCGCATGCGACTTCAGTGGCCGATACTGAGTTCACGACTGCCGCTTCAGGCTTCGGGATGTAGAACTCTGGTAGTTGAGAAAGAGGTGGTGGGAAACCCAGCTGTTCCAAAGTCCTGACCATTGCGTAGTCCATGCGGCCGTGGCAATGTGGGGTGTAGCCGATGACCACGACTCGATCACCTGTCCACTCCATGACTTCATGGGCTCGCCTTGGTGAGAATGATATGCACTTCCCCTTCTCAAGCGGGTGTACATTGCCGTACATCATTTCACCCTTGGCATTTGGTCTTTGGTTTAGCTCTCCTTGGACCACATCTCCAGGTTGAAGTTGAACCCAAACTCCTCCTCCCTTTTTCGGGCACACAACGGGCACCAGGTAGTTCTGAGTGTTAGCATCATTGTTGATATCCTTGTGAACTTCCTTCAATGTATTCGTTGACACCAGTACTGCAGTGAAGGTTGCCTCGGGCATGGAGCGCAGTAAGATTCGAGTGAGGATTCGGGTTACCAGCGGGAATTCCGATGTAGAGTTCATCACCCCCACCACACCTCCATGACGGTATGCCCCAGCCTTGAAGTTGTCCAGTGATCCATTCCGAAACCACTTCTCCACCAGCTCCAAGTCCAGGTCCTCGTCATCGAGCTCGAGGGCTTGTTTGGCCTCCTCCTCAACATCTCCAGGGCTTATCTTCTCAATCGCAGCCACCCTCGGAATTACATCAGAAGGTTTGGTCTTTTCAGACAGGCGAGTAGATGGCTTGATAACCTCGTCTGCCTCCAAAGTGGTTGTCGGCTCACCAGGATCCACAAGGTTAGGCCTCACGTGAAAGGTGTGGAAGAAGCCCTCTCCCTTCCCTTCTTCCTCAGGCAAGAACACCAAGTGTCCTCGATCCAGCAGTCCACTTAGTCCGACATATCGGCCCCTTGCCGAAGCCCGCTGTTCAGCTGCTGCAGTCTCTGCCGCTGCTGGCCACAGGCGAACCGGCAGTCCACTCGCCACCAGCATCGTACGAATCCGGTTCTTGACCCATTTCACAGTGGCCTCGGCATGACCATTGGTCTGGGGAATCCCAGGTTCTGCCCATGTTCCACGAATGCCCTGCTCCCTTAACCAAGTCTTGAAAGCAGCTGAGTAGTACTCACCTCGATCAGAGTGGAACCGTAGCACTGGTAGTCCATGAGCTCCAAGATACAGTATCACATCCTGCAGAGCCCCCTTAATCGTGCTCGCCTTGTTGTTGGGAATTCCAACAGCGAAAACCAGCGACGTCATCTCGGGAGGATTACAGTCACCAGTCCTCATAACAGCATGGCCAGGCTTACCATCACCACCTTCTTCTCCTTCAGGTGGTTCCTCCACCTTCTCATCATCAGCTTCGCCGCCATCATCATGGTGGTCCTCAAACAACGGGTTTCCCTCTTCAAGGATCTCCTCCGGCTCCGATGGTTCGTAGTCCATAACGTCTTCAGGAATGGGTTGCCCGTGTTCCTCCTCCAAGTCATGCTTCTCTTCTTGAGCTTCTGGAGGTAGGCTGTGGTCCATCCCTTCATGGGGCGGGGGTTCCCTCCCCGAATAAGCCTTCGCAAAGTCCTTTGGAAAGAGATACTTCGCAACCAGCAGGTACCTTATGTTGCACGAAGGAGTTCCCTTGATCGCCGAGTCCAGCCCAGCCTTTAGTGGTGCCGAAAGGTCAGAAGTGAGGACATAGCTGTCGGGGTGACATACACGACCATGACGCTTTCCAGTTCCCTTGGCCATCACACAAGTGGCACAGTCCCTCCTATAGGGGAGGTGGGACGCATCAACGTGTTTTTTCCATTGCTCCGGGCTCATGGCATACACCCGAGGACTCCTTGACCACATGTGGAATGCAACGACCAGGGCCTTGACTAGCCCAGGTGACCACCGGCTCTGATCCACCTCCGGAGATGCCGTCTCGAGCTTACTGTCCGCCTTGATGCCCTCCAAGCCTCTCAGGTACGGGATGTTGGTTCCCAGAACAGTACTCATCTTGGTGTTCGCTCCTGTTCCCCCTTGCTCAAACGACACCTCGAACATGCCCGCCTCAGTTGCAAACTCTCGCCACACTCTGGTCTCCCAAAGGAAAGGACGCCCCTCCCTTGTTGCTGAGGACGACGAAGTAGAAACTCCTGGGTGCTCGATCATAAAGCCCACCTCCTTATGTCTCATTGCTCCCTTTGCAGTTGTCATTCTTCCCGCTGATGCCACCACGTACAGCCAGAGCATTCTGCAGATCAAGGAAAGAGGCTTGAGAGTGGTCTCGTCGGAAGTTGAGTGGAGAAAGGCGCGGCCGTCCCTCCCCGGTGGTCCACCAAACACCATATCCACCTTTCCCGATCTTGCCCCCCACAGGAGCATTTCCCAGGTTGGCGACCTTCCCAGTAGATCATGCCCACGACATTGCCGGATGTCAATCTCCAGGACCACCGTATCACCATCATGTTGTCGGAAGAATTCCATGTGCACGATCCATTTCTTTGCTGAAAGCAGCGTCCTCCTCTGTGGTCGAGTCAGGTAGGTGACCTTCTTCAGGGTTTCCCAGCCACTGCACAGCTCTTCCGGAGGGATCAAACCATTGAGACATTCACCAGGGAGGTCTTGGAGGAAAGGTGCATCACGAAGGGCTCGGAGTCCTGCTTCTCGTGGTCCCCCATTGGCATAATTCAAGAGGTACTCATACCAAGACCTGTCCATGCAGGAGGCGACTCTGGCGATCCTGTCTTCCGTGATCAAGGTCTCGTTCTCCAAGCGCTCTCGCTTCCTCTCCTCCAATCTGGCAATGAGTGCCAGCGCCTCAGCTTCACACATCTGAGGGCACCCAGAGTTCGTGCTTAGGTGGAGAATCTCGCCATTGGGGTCCTCAAGAGTGCATTCCTCCCTTGACCATTTCATTGTGTACCCCAGGATCTTCACGAGCTCGCCAAGCGGGACAATGGTTTGATGCTGCTGCGCCTCAGGATTGTTGTTGGGCTGAGGTGGCATCAACAAGGTGTCCAGCCCACTCATCCTCATCTTCAAGGAATGGTTCCCGGCCAGCTGCACTTCTACCTCTTCAGATCGTTGCCACTCATCCCAAGTGGTAGCACTCCGAAGTGAGTGTGTAGCCCCTGAATCCAGCAATGCCGACGACGAAGATCTCAGCGAGCACACCCTGATGTCTCGAACAACCAGCACCTTGGCTGCCGGTGTCTTCTCAGGGCTCTTTTCTCCTTCGGAGGTGGAGTGCACGACCTGGGCCTGGACTGCCTGCAAGAGCGACTCTAATGTCCAGGGCACACCCTGAATCGGTGGATCTCCTCCGTCACCCTGTGGTCCAGTCACCGCTGCAACGGCTGGCGACTGGGATGAAGAAGGAGCATCACCTGTAGTCTTAGCCGTGGATGCTGCCGCCGTTGAGGTTGCCCTTGACTTTGCTCCTGGCTTATTGACCACACACTCCCGCTGTCTATGGCTTTCAGATCCACATAGGAGACACTTTTTCGCCCGGGTCTCCTTGTCAAGATTCGCCATGTTATGGGAGAACGAGCACTTGTTCCCTCTTCTGCATCCGGACGGTTTCATGAAGTAGCGGCACATCTCATTCCCTGTCTTCTCCTTCTCCTTCGTCTTCTGGTTTGGAGATGCATCCACCGCTCTCATCCTTGGGCCCCCTGATGTCGTCGTCGCCGTTGAAGCCGTACTCGTAGAGGACAACAAGGTTTCCAGCTCGGCTTGCAGGTGTCGCTGGTAGTCCTGGACCTGGGTGATGGTGGGCCTAGCGTCCAAACGCAGTGACGTCCTCAGCATAGCCGTCCTGAAAGCTGCATCTGGGGAAGTGGAGATGTGCCTTGTGGTGAGGTTCATCAATCCCCTGACCATGACCGAGGCATCGGGCGGCGACATGTTCACCGAGTGGCAACGAGCCAACCATCTAGGCCAGGATCTCACCGCCTTCAACACATCTTCAAGCCCATCGCCTGTCACGAATTCACTGGGGTTCTGAAGCTTTCTCAACACTTCCTGCCTTTCAGCACTCCCTCCAGGTTGGAACAGGACGAAGAGGCGAAAAACCATCCTTGGTGAGCTCTGTGTGATCCTCTGGCTGACCATCTCTCCACGGAGTTCCTCGCCCATCGCGGTTAGCAACATCGAAGCAATCCTGGCATTGACTCTCGTCCAACGACCAGAACAAAGAGCCTCGGCTCCTTTCGGGGCGATTTGCAACCGCTCCAATGGGGTTGCTGCCAACCACTGGGCGTAGGTCTCGTTGACCAGGTCCATGACAGCTGACCACCAAGCCCCGCTATTTTCGCTCACATCTGCCAATACAGTCGCCGCCACTTCCAACCAGTCTTGCAGTTGTAGCGCCGACGAACCTGCACCATCGGAGGCACGATATTCCGGCAGAGGGCTCAGGGTCAAAGTTCCTGGCTTGACCACCTCGGATTGTGAGCTTGAGGTTGGCGATCTGGCCAAAGTCTGGGCCTGAATGTCCTGCAGTTGCTTCATGCCCTTCGCCAACATTTCTAACACAGGACTCTCCCTTGGGCTTGACGACTCCCTTGGGATTGGCGGTGTTGGAGGCCTAGTTCCTCCACCCAAGAGGGTTCGGATTCCCTCAGCGATGCCCCCAGAAGTTGCCACCCTTGAAGTTCTGGTTGATGTAGTCCTCTCAGGAGGTGGGTCTCGACAGGGTTCCAAAGGGCCAGGGACTTCGTTGAGGTCTGGAGGCCGCATCTCCGACATTCCTGGATACACCTCATCACCCGATGGATCTGGGCGTTCTCGTCCTTGATCATGAAGGTCAGATACTCGACGTGGGTGGGCCTGCTCCAGGCCTGGAAAAACTGGCTGTCTCACACCGTCGCTTCCTTGTCTAACAGCTGCAAGCTCGCTTTCCAGCTCCTCATTACGTTGCTCCGCTGCCCGCAACCGCTGCAGGACCTGGCCTAGCTGCCGCTGCACTTCTGCTTGGATCGCCTCTTGGGGCAAGCTCGAGGAACTCGGAGTTGGAGGCGATGCCACCTGTCTGCTGCTCGGTGGTCGCAGCACAAAGCTCGGGCCGCCTGGAAGCGACCTCTGGGATCCCTGACTCCCACCAAGGGGACTGGGCAAAAGATCGTTCTGTGGGGCCAGCGACAAGTACGATCCCAGCCTGGTTACCCATGCTGGCACCTCCAATCCTGCCACCCACGGTGCAGCTCCATTATATCCATTCCTCGTGGATCTCGGAGTTGCAAAACCAGTCGAAGCCACCTGCGAGACCTCTGCAGCCTGTTCACCAGCTCCAGCTCCGCCACGATCAAAGTTCGTCATGGATGTTCCCTCCACTGCCTGACTTCGCCGTGATGCGGGTTCTGGCTCCAGTGAGCTGCTAAAGTTCTGTGAGTTCGGCGGGACATCCGCTCTTCCAGCAAAAGATACTGTCTCATCCATTGCTCCAGCGCCGTCCACATCTGCCTGCAGGTTCGTAGCTCCCGACCTTGCCATCGTAGTTTGTCCAGTGGGCGAATCCACCTGGACCCGAGGCTGGTCCATTCCATTCAGGACTAGCCCTTGCGGAGTTGCTGCCTGAGCAGCTGGCGGTTGGGCGACCATAACCTCACGTTGCATGGGATCTTCAGGAAGGCCCACTACAGTCCCAACATCAGAATCCGCCATGGCAACGACTCGAATTGGAGAAATCTGTTTTACGACCAGCGAGATGCTCTGTCCTTAAGTGGCTTTTGTACAGGTTACCACAGACAATGCATCGTGTAGAGCTCTGCTCATACCTTTATGAATACTTTCTGTCCAAAAGTCTATGTAAAGCTCTGCTTTACATCAGTGTTTGATCATGGCTCAAGGGCTAAATCTTCGCAGCCTTCCCTGAACCATAACAAGAGCGGGGCCGTCGGTGGCGTTGATGAATATGCCTCAGCAGCACATCGTCAACCCTAAACCCTAGACCCGAGGGTTAACTCAGCCCCTTCGTTGTAAGGCACAACCGACTCATGGATCGAGCTCACAAAGCCGACACCCGTCCTTCGGCGATTGGCCCACCAAGAAGCCCAGAGTGTTATAGGGTTTAGGGTTGAGGGTTTCGGGTTTAGGGTTTAGGGTTTAGGGTTACCCTAACACCTTAAGAATTCTAAATAGCCTATACTCTTCAGTGTTGAGGGTTTTAGGGTTTAAGGTTTAGGGCTTAGGGTTCTAGATAGCCTATACTCTTCAGTGCCTTTGGTTTAGGATTCAAGGTTTCGGGCTTATCAGCCCGAAACCTCAAACCCAAAAAGCCCTAAACCCGACTTAAGCCTGCCAACCCTCAACCCTGAATTTGAAGATTTGGCTTGTTGGGTTCCTTCATGGAGCTTATAAACCCTGGACCCCAAAACACCAACTTTATTTACTAGACCAACAGAAAAGGAAGCTTAATCTATAAGATGCTTGCTGGGCTACCTCGCTCAATGCTTCAGGACGTAAGGGCATGTAGGCTGTGAGGTCTTTACAACCCATATAACTGTAAACCCTGAGCCCTTCACGAAGCTTGTAGCCCATCTGCCTGGAGGCCCTACTAAAATGCATCCCTGTGAATACGGACTCCAGATCCGCCAGGAGCAGCTCCTAAACCCTAAACCCTAAACCCTAAACCCCAAACCCTGAACCCTAAACCCTAAACCCTAAACCCTGAAGAACCCCAAGATGACCAAACCTGCGATTTGACGCTTCGCCGTCCTTACTGGGGACACCGCGACTTCGGCGATCTCGGCAGCAGTGGGGCGGTGGAGAGGCCTCCTCCCGGAGAATGTCCTCCCACAGAGAAGGGTTTAGGGTTTAGGGTTTAGGGTTTGGGGTTTAGGGTTTAGGGTTTAGGGTTTAGGTTTTAGGGTAATACAGGGATTTCGGTCATCAAGCGTGCCTGGGCTGAGGGCGGTGGAGACCACGAATCACGCGCAAGACTCGCAAGTGCACCGCAGGGCACCATGAGTCGTTGCGGCGGAGATGTCCTTGAAATGGACCGCGCAAAGACATTGCCATCTGGCTGCTTCGTGCACGGTTGCATCCACAGCGCTGTCAGAATCCTAAGCCCCCAAGTTGCTATGCCCTGAAATCCCTGTAGAAGCCCTGGGACATCCACAGAATCAGCCAAAATGAAAGAACCTCCCAAACCAGCGTGGCAGCGGCATATCCCCTCATTGAGTCGCGCCCATCTAGTCCCTGAAGCTGATGGAATTGGGGAAGTTCTTCGCTGCTTAGAGATGAAGGGTTTTGGGCTCACTTAACAGCAGCATACATGGGCACTCGGGTCTATATATACACAGCCCACAACCTACCAGAACCACCCAACTGTCCTCTATTTAGCCCGAAGTGCCTCCCATTAATCACAGCCGCCGAAGCAGGACGTTCTGAAACCCGCGAAGTCGTGTGGCTAAAGATTCACAAGGGTTTCGGTCTTAAGGCATAAAGGGCTGAAGGCTATCAACCCGAAGCACTAACCACAAGGCTACGTCGTGCTCATGGAGAATGCGTTGATGGTGAGCACGCTCATCGATCCCAGGAATTTTCCGTCTCTCGCAGCAGCTTTCCTCCACGCCTGTCATTGAACAAAAGCTGCAGAAACATCTTCGAAACCCTACAAGGAATGAGGGATCGTCTAGGATGGGTGGGCAGTCCATACCGGGACTCTAACGGGGAGGAGGTCGGTGCTTTGGAAGTCATAGGTCTTCCAGATTTGCTGTTTCGGGGCTTAGGTTCGCCTCGTGGGATTTAGCGTCTTCGGTTCGGATCTTGAAGATACCAGGTGGCAGGTAGGTGCCTTCACCAGAGGTGAGGGCATCTTCCCACAATCTGCGTGGGGTCTGACTTAGGCCGTCCACAGAGCCTCCTCTCCTCTCCTCTCCCTTTCCCTGCCACCTGCCTAGCATGTTTAACTTTCATTCGCGTCCCATGCCAAAAGCCCAACCCTCCCAAGCCCTAAGCCCTAAACCCTAAACCCTAAACTCCCTCCACCCCGCTGTTTCCAACCGCGTGAGGACGCTGGGTCAGAGCGAGAGCCGATGTGCTTCCGGCATGGTCTTCGACCGCTCGAAGGCGGATTCTGGTTTCGGGTTTAGGGTTTAGGGTTTAGGGTGGCACAGGGCTCTTGGTTTAGGGCTTTTTCTGGGTTTCGGAGTACAAGACTTTAATATGCTTTAATACTGTTTTTGGTTCTGGGTTCCTGATATAGCTACTTATACCGAAAAAGTATAGACGTTTTTTTCCAGGGTCTACTCCAAAGTCGGGGTTTCGGGTTTAGGACTTGTTGGGGTTGGGTTTCATTTCTCGTTGCATTGTGGTTCGGGGCCTTTGACGCTTTGGGGTTGAGGGCCCGAGGGCTTTATAGGGTTGAGAGGGGCGCAAATACCCGTGAAGATGCCTTAAATACCCCAGGGTACTTGGGGAATGCAGGCAGGTGTTTCGGAGTTGCGGCTTTCATTGGTGAAAGCCTTTGACAGCAGGCTCACTAACAAGGGCCTCCAAAGGGCTTAAGAACGCAAGCGATTTCAAGAAGAAGGGACCAGATTCTGGAGTCATCTTTCATCTTTGCCGGTTCTTGTCCAGTCGTCGACGATACAAGCCCTGTAACGCCTACAAAGCATATGAACCATCTCAGCCCTCTAAACCCTTTGAAGCCTCTGTCCCTACCCTTTTTGCACCCCAGCCCCAGAGCCCGCCGCAGGCGAAATTCGGCCCCGGCGCCGGCGAGAGCTCGTGGCATCACGGTGGGCTGGCCCCTTGCGCACCAACTGTCAGAGGGCTTTTTAGGGGTTCATAAGGTTGAGGTTCAGGCTTTTTTTGAGATTGTTTAGGTTTAGGAGTTTAGGGGTTTGAGAAGTTTGAGAGGGCCTTGGGTTTTTTGGGGTCTATAAGGTTTATGGTTGAGGGGGTTAATGAGGGGATTCAGAATTTGAAGGCTTGCTTCTTGGGGTTGGGGTGTGGGGGGGGGCGGGGCAGTACCAGCACGGCAGCTTCATTCGGTACGGATCGCGCAATTTGCCGATCAGCAACAAAGATGCAAGTTGAAAAGCATGCGACCATACAGATTGGTTGGTCGCTTGACTGGGTGCTCTTCCGACCTATATATATATATATAAACTGTTATATTATTTGTTTTTTGGGGGGGGCTCAGTTTGTTCCTTTACCGTGTTGCTTTCCTCCCGTTGCCTTCATCTCGATTCTGTCTGTCTCCTCCCTCCGCAACCATGCCAGCCCACGGTCTTCTCCCCGTTTAAAATTTGCTGCATTGCTGCCTGCTTCCATCCGGACACCGCCTCGAGCAGTCCGCTCATCAGAAGCGAGTTGCATGTTGTGTCTGCGTACGACTCGACATAGGGCTAAAACAGTAACTCTGCCTCAGTGTGCAAACGTTCTTGGCAAAGAGCAAGTTTTCTCCTAGTTCGGCATGGCAACACGAACAATAAACAAGCATATCTTAGTTAAGCATCTGTGCCGACAGGACAACAGTTTGCAGGGCTCTGTGGCTCTGTGTTGAAAGAAGCTCAGTGTGCGCCGGACTGCGGTCACATCGCCCGCGGTCGTGGTCAGTAGCCTGAGCCCATGCTGGCAACTTCAGACACGTGGCTTGCGGCCCTGGCGACCGACTTGCCTGGAAGCGTGTTCGTCGTGGCGGATTGGACAGACCAGCGACCAGCGAGAGGTCCCCGCACGCTGGGCCTCGGAGGCATGGTGTGGGAAGCCCCGCCGGCAGCCTTCCTCTGTTCTGGCCCCCTCTTGTGTATACCACCCGGAGCTGCACGTGGACGAGCGACACCCGCAGTGCGCGAAGCTGGCGAAACTTGCCCCAAAGCAGTGCTGCACTACAGCCGACTCTGAGCTGCAGTTCCCTTTAGGAATGTCGGACAAGTGCCATTCATAGTCTGCGCCCGAATCTCGGGCAACAGGGAAGGGGGTGGGGAGACCATCAATAGAATACAGCGACTAAGGTTTGGGGGGGTCTGGGATTTAGGGCTACAGGCTTGGGGACTCCTATTTTAGGGACTTGTGTTTTGGCGCCCAAAGGGCCATGCCATATTTGGTTTTGTGTAGGGCTTCGGATCCCTGCTAGTAGGGTTTCGGGTTTAGCGGCGATTTATGTGGCTGCAGCCATGTTCAGGATTGACATGGCAAGTGCTCAGAACGAGGCTCCCTTCTGCGACCATGTTACACTCCGGGTTCCGCATATCGTACGTACGCAATAGAGAGAGAGAGAGAGAGAGAGATATACATATATATATATGTATATATATAGAGATAAAATTTCAGTTCCTGCAGTATATATTTGATTCAACGTGGGAAAGACCATGGTTGGGAGCACTGGCCGCATCCAAGTTTTCGCCTTCGGGCCTCCACTTCAAAGACCGACACCCGCGCGCTGAGCAAAACATGGTCCAATTGTTTAGGAGCCGGTACCAAATGTTTCGCAGGTGTATTCTACCAAGGGTTAAGTTTCAACACTGGACGCTGCTTTAACCTCGTGTAAAACCCAGGCCTTTGATCGGATTTGGGGTGTAAAGGGAGACTTTGGTCGACCCTGAACCCTGAAAGCCTAAACCCTGATTCCTACCCTTGATCTGACAAGAGAAACGTGACAGCCATGGCATTAAAACCTAAACCCTAAACCGCAACTCTGCAGACTACTGCCC